AAAAAAAAAAAAAAAAAAAAAAAAAAATTTATCTCAGATTTTTTTTTTCTTCAAAACAAAATTCTTTAAACGTCCGTTTTGTTTGTGCCATTTCGGTTTACAAAGTCTTATCTCTCTTTTTTACACTATTTTTTCTTATTTTGTTTTTCGTCAGTCAGTCAGTCAGTGTGGATATAGTCGTTTTTTCTAAGAAAATTTTCATCGTCGTTTTGTTGTTTGGTTCTCGGTTTTTTTTCTGTGCATCATGATGAATATGAAAATATTCCAGTGTGTTAAATGTCTGTACACTGTATATGTGAGAGGGATCTGTTGAAATAGGGGAGAGATAAAAATAGTGAGGGAGAGATAAATAGATGGATACTCTTTGTGTGTGATTCGTTTATTTTCGGAGAAAATAACAAAATTTAAATTCAAGAATTTTCAATGGGAAAAAAACAACAACATAAAAAATAAATAAATACAGTGTTTGTGTGAATGAATGATAATCGATAAATTTCTGTTGTGAAAACACTAGCGAAAGAATCATTTCCATATAGAAACCGAATAACAGAATTCAAATTCCACAAAAAAAGGATACTTAACACACAACGTTCATAAATAACGTATTCCTAAATTTTCTTCAAAAAAAAATTTGATCCAGGAGATCTATTATTTGGCTTCTTTTTTCACACTCCAGGTGTAAACAGTGGAAAAAATTTACATTTTTTCAAAATCAAAATCAAAAAAAATCATTTAAAACATCCACTTTTCACTGTTTATGAAAGGTTTTTTTCTATATGAATCAAAATCCATTGACAAACACCATATTATCATCATTCATTCATTCATCATATGACAAAATGGAAAAAACAAAAGCAAAAAAAAGCATAAAAAACATCAAAATCTCCATGTGACAAACGTAGATTGAGTTAGTTGAAGAAATTGAGAAAGTTTGATTTTGTTTTTTTTCTGGGCAATTCTCTTATGGGACCAACCAGGCGGTGATATTCTTCAATCATCGATAGTAAGATTGCGAAGAAGAAAGAAAGTTTAATTCAACTTTTTTATTTTCTTTTTGTTCAACTTTTTCTTTTTCTTTCAGTTTGGTTGGATTGAAAATCGATTAGCTTGGTTCTGAACTTGAGAACCTAAGACCTTTTTTTTTATTATTATTCTGGTGTATGATGAGATTGGTTGGAAAAAACAAACGACAAACAAACAAACAAAAAAGTTCCCCTGAAAAGTTGCAATAAAGTTTTCGGGAAAATTTTTTTTTCAAAATATCGACATTGATGATGACGACGGTGAATGAATTATTGAACGAAAAAACAAAGAGAAAAAGAGAGAAAATCCACTGAAATCCAAATTGATTGCTTTGCGTTTTTTTCATTTTCCCTTCATATTTTCTGCGAAAATAGCATACTGGACAGGCATCTTTCACATTCATCTTTCAAGTACAACAAAAATAAATGAAAAAACGAAAATCAGTTCAGTTCAGAAGATGAAAGATATGAATATCTAGCATCATCCTCATCATCAATTAATTAATTAAGTAATTAATCGATTGAGAAACAAAAAAGAAAAGTGTTGAGTTGACGAAAGCAAGAGAGAGAGAGAGAGAGAGAGACAAATAGATTTATTGTCACACTATTTATTTGTTTCTGGGAAATTTCTCAGCGACAAATAACAGCGTCAACAACAACAACAGACAACAAAGTTGCCAACGAAAAAAAAATCATTCAACCGTATACACATCGAACGAATTTATTTTTGATTGAAAAATAGATTTTTTCATTTTTTTTTTTGAATGAAAGTTATCTTTTTCTTCTTGAAAAGTCTTATCTTTTCAACAAAGCAAATGCCGAACCGAATGAATGAAAGAAAGAAAGTCATCAAAGCATAAATTCTGGATTCTGGATTCTGAAGATGATGATGATGATGATTGAAGAGAAGGAATTTTCTTGGATCAATTTTCTCGGGAAATTTTTTTTTTGAGAAATTCAAAAAAAAATTTGCTTTTAGTCAGCAAAGAATAAGTTTTCCTAATTTGAAAAATTTCAAATCTAAAACTAATTAGGAAAACAAAAAATATGACATAGAAAGTTAAAATAGTCACTTTTGGCATAGGATCATTGAAGAAACATTCTCATCAGCATCATATTTCCAAAATTAATTTGATTGAATTTTGTGAAACATCATCATCAACAGTAACAGTAGAAATAGTGGAATTCAACAGTACTTGAATTTATTCAAGAGTTTTGCCTTGTTTTGTATTATTAAGATGATGATGATACTTGTGCAATATTGTAATTTGAGAATTTTTGCTTGTTTTTTGCTATTTCAACAACATCAAATTGACCACTTGAGTCAAAATAGTATATTAATTTAAAGATAAGGTTAGTATCCGAATACCGACCAACTTGACAAGCAACAAATTTTTGAAGAGATTCAAAGAAAAAATCAAAAAATCAAAAAATCGATCGATTGATTGATTGGATTTCTTATTTTCCACAGCCAGCCAGCCAACCAATTATCATTATCATTTTTTCATTCATGATAATCAATGAAAAGAAACAAAAATCTATTACCGGTTTTCATTTTGATTTTCGGTTGATTTCGGAAATTGTTTCATTTTGTTTGTTTGTTGTTAGTGGTGAAGAACACATATTTCGATTCGAAATATTGACAATCAAAATGACATTCTTAAATTCCATCTTTACGAGCTTATCTTTTCAAAACACAAAACAAAATCTTTCTTTTCTTTCTTTTTCAGTTAGTTTGACAGCTCGAAAGACAGAAAAAAAATATTTGCAAAATGAAAATTACTTTTTTTGTTGTTTGGTCAATCTTCAATGATAGATGATTAGGATGATGATGATAATGATGGAAATTAAAATTTATAACCGAACAAACGAGAAAAAAGGAAGAAAAAAACAAATCAAACAAACCAAACAAAAAACATTATGATGATTATTAATGTTTTCATTTTTGGTATTTCCAATTTCCTTGGTCAAAAGAAAAATATTCTTTTTTTTCTGGTCAACAACAACAATATAATTACCCGGAAAAATAACCGGCCAAAATAGTTTTAATGTTCAACTAATCATTTGTGACAAATTTTTGTTTTTTGTTTTTCACTTTCTCTCATCGGTATTTCGGTAATAATTACCGCCAAGAGATAGAGAGAGAGAGAGATGGAGAGAAAAAAAATATTTATTACATAACCGCAACTGCAGAATTACCGAACAGGAATTGAAATCACCAACCAAGAAGAAAAAAACAACTGACCATTTTGCCATATTGATTATGAATTGAATGAACCGTCGGTTATTATTTGTACACTTGGGAACCATACAAAAAACAACAAAATATTTTTTCCATAAGCTTATTATTGTTGTCGTTGTTTGATAATTATCATCATCATCAATGAAGTCGAAATAGCCAAGCCAAACCAAAAAATAGTCCGGAATTTCACATTTTTCACATTTTTTCCATGGTTTCATCGGATATTATCATCATCATCGGTTATTATTTATTGACCGGGGCAAACAAAAATATGGAAATTATTTTTATTGAGATAAACATACACACTGAAACAGCGAGAGAATAACCGAAATGAATAATTTCATTGCATATTGTGAATTTAATTATCGTTGATTTTTTTTGTTCAATTGTGAATATCATTACTGATACATCACTGCCGCACACAAACAAAAAAGAGGAATCCAAATTAGATCAGTGAAAGAATAAAGTGAATCGAATCAAGTGAATCTCTCTTTTTTGCCATTTGTGATTTGATTTGTGATTTTTTTATTTGTTTTCCAGTAAAAAAGAAGAAAAATTTCATTCAATTTCTTTATTCTGGAGAGAGATGTTCCATAACAAAAGTCGTCGTCGTCGTCGTAATCATCATCAGTTTTTAACGACGACGACGACGACAACGATCTGTCAACACGTCAGATTCTTGTGTGTGTGTGCTGCGTTGATGTATCGATTCAAGAATTCTCAATTTTTTTGCTTTCTCAGATTCAATTATCATCTGTCGGTCTTGATTCTGAGATTCTGAGATTCTTTCTGTCTGTTTTTTTCGGCCGAAAATTCTGCAACAACAAAAAAAAAACAACAGAAATTTCTCAAATCGATAACCGACCCGGAATAATAAAAAAAAAGAAATTCCAAACATCACCCACTGTATTTTCGACTATTTTAACATCATCATCTAAGATGAACAAAAAATAAAATAATTAAAATATATTGAGAAATCAAAATCTTTGAAATGAATTGAATTGAAAAATTCTGATTCCCAGATGCTATTTTTTTTATAGGGAAATGTTCCCAGAAAAAAAATCACAAGTGACATTTTTTTCCGGGAAATTTTCCCCACCAAAAAAATTGGATCATATTCAAAACATGATGATGATGATGAATCATCAGAATGAAGAAAAAAAAATTTGCATATTCACAGATCTACATGACATAATCAAATGAAATTCAAAAAAAGCTGCTTTGTTTTTGCTTTCGAATCGATTTCTCTGTCTTGATAATCAAATTATAACATCATCGTAAGATGATGATGATGATGATGAATTTGATTATAATAATAATAATAAATAACTGAATCTGTGGATGGCCTGTGTGTGTGTTTGCGTGTTCTGAATCCGTTGATATTTGAAATTTAAATTTTATTAACCCAAATCTCTCTCCTTCTGTTTGTCTTTTTCACTAATTTTTTTCCATTTTTTTTCTCTTTAAAAATATTGCTGCAGTTGTTGGAACATCAGCCGAATCATCATCATCACAATTTTCCGAATTACAAATGGATCAGCCTTCATCTCAATCATCATCCGCATCTCAATCCGCATCATCAACTGTTATTGTGATTAGTGGACAACGTACAAAACTTTTATGTCCATTAATTGATCAAACAAAATTATTAACAAATAAAAAATTATTGCCTTCATCTGCTGCCAATTCTGTTGTTGTTGTTCATCATCAAGATGGTACATCATCCACTGCTGCCACAATAATACCAATTAAATGGCAAAAAGGTATGTGTTTTTATGTCATTGGTGTGATGTGTGTATGAATGAAATTCCAGAATCGTAAAATGCAAACTTTTAATTAGAAATTGAAAAATATTCCTATGCAATTTTCGATTTAATTAACACACTGAATGCCAGCGAAAACAAAAAAATCCATTACGATTCAATTCATTTTTGGATTCTGTGATGAAGACAGGAATTTTTTTTGTTGTTGAAATTCAAGAATTTCAATTCCAATTTCATTGATAGGCACTGGAAACACATTGATGACAACCTCGTTTATAATTAAATTATAATTTTTGTTGTAAAACAAAAAAAAACATCAGTTTAGGGATAGAAATGTTTGGTAGCAAAACAAAAAACAAAAAAAATTAACAACTAACTAGCCTCTGGGATTCTATTCGTTCGATTCATGAATCTGGAAACATAATTTTTTTTTGAATTTCGAAAAAAAATTTTTCCAAATTAATCATCCAGAAGAATAGTGATGAAAAAAAGGCTTAAAAGTTTTTTCATGTTTTCAACAAACAGAAAAAACAAAAATTTCAAATTTTTTCATTTGAAATTTCATTAAAGAATTGAAATTTTCAAAAACGAAAAAAAAAACGAAAAGCAAAGGCAAAATCCAATGTAATTAGTCTGTTGTTAATCGAATCATAATGATGATGAACCAAACATTTATTTCATTAATTTTAACCAAAAAATTTTTTTCGTAAAAAATTTTCCATAGAAAATTCAATACTACCATATGATCATCGACAACATATACAACCAAATGGTACATTAATTATACAATCATCACAAAAACGTTTGGATGAAGGTAGTTATTATTGTTATTTTGATGAAAATTTTTCTACATCCACTGTTACCGATAACAACGGGAAAAAATCCAACAACAACAATATTAATGCTCAAAATAAAGATTTTATTATGAAAAATGGTGCAGCAACTGTTCATCTAAAAGTAATGGGTGAGTTTTTGTGGATTTTTTTGTTACTTAAAAGTTGGTTTAAACTAACCCGAAAAAAAAAAATTTTAGATCCACCACACGTTGCACCATTTGAATTTCCCGCCGATTTACAAATCGGAATGAAAGCACGTGCAATGTGTTCAGTAATGCGTGGTGATCAACCATTTCGTTTTTATTGGACACAAGATGGTCATCGTTTAGAATCAGATTTACCAACTGAAGATACTGGTGCCATATATCGTCTGCAACATTTTCGTGATTATTCAATGCTTACTGTCGATAGTTTGACATTAGCACATGCCGGTAATATTACCTGTACAGTATCGAATGATGCAGCAAGAACATCACAAAGTTCATTACTTAAAGTTAATGGTAAGATTCATCAATTTTATCAAACGACTGATATGATTAAAAGTTTGATCGAAGTGAAATCACAAGCAATAAACACACAAGGATTTTGAATTAGTTGGTAGAAAAATTCCCAATTAGAAATTCTGTACTTAATCATTGAATGAATATTGATTAGCAAAGTAGTAGGAAAAAAGTAAACTTTACAATTCGGCGTATGAATTTCAAAAATCCATCAAAAAAAGAAAATCCGTTTTGATGCATAACCAAATCAAAAACAAGCTTAATTAATTGATATTATCAAGTTTTTTGAAGGCGACATTTCACACGACGATCCATGTTGATGATGATTCAGCAGCAATTGAATCAATCGTGTTAGGATTTTTTTTTCTCCACTAAATAGAATTCAATGGTGAAAAAAAGAAAAGAAAATCAGATTAATTTAATCAACGAAAAGACACCAACAACATCAGTGATCCTGAAATCTATCGGAACAGAATTGATGCTGAGATTGCAGAAAAAGCTAAACTAAACACACACACACACACACAGAATGTTTGTTTGTTTGTTTTTGTTTGTTCAAAATCAACCAAAAAAACCTAGATAAATATAGAGAATTTCTTCTTTTTTTTGATTCCAATAAAAAATTTTGATGTTTTCATATTTGTCATTCGAAAAATCCTAATTTTTTGTTTGTTTATTTTTGGATATTTTAACCCAAACATCCTACCCATAATGTTATCAAAAAATATAGCACCACCACAATGGTTAATCGAACCAAAAGATACACAGGTAATATTACATCAATCAGTTAGAATTGATTGTCTGGCATCTGGATCACCAAAACCATTTACAACATGGAAACGTGCTATAGGTAAGTCATTCATTCAACAACAACCAAAAAAGATTTCTTTCTTTCGCTTTTTACTTCTTTCACTCTCTTACGCGAAAGTAAAAGTTTCTTACATCTCCCTTTTGAAAGAAGAAGAACAAAAAATCCCAAAAGAACGAAGTTTGCACAGTGCAAAACTGAAAATCCCATTGAGTTTAATTGAAATTCATTGACGCACAACCATCCTTCCAATGACAAAAAAAATAAATATCATTGTTAGAGATCCATTGGATTGTAAAAATTTTAAAACTCTTCTTTCGTTTACATCTTTCACTTTACCTTTACTTTTTTTTCTCTATTTTCTTACTTACAATCGACATTTGTTTGATGATGATGATGATGATGATTCTCTAATATTAGTTAGTTTCATTTCAATTTTGTTTGGCCTGAGATTAAATTCAAACAGCCAAACCAAACACACAGCACAGCATAAGCATCAGTACTGATGAAAAAAATCATTTTGAATGAGAATTTAATTTCGTTCACTTCACTCCTTGTGTGTGTAATGATAACAAAAAAAAATATTTGAAAAAAGTTTCTTCTTCCATCGTCTCCTTCTGCAGAATTTCAAGTTTCTATTTTTTAAATTTTAATTTGTTTTTTTTCTACATTCATTCATTCTTCAGCGTAACAAAAAATCTCTTCTCACTCACTCTCTTATATGTCTAAATCACACACACACCAACAACAACAACAATCTGAGAAATTGATATGAATCTCTCTTTGAATGAATGAAGAAGAAATTTGTTTCTTTTGATTCCTGAAAAGAAAGAAAACCTGTGCAATTTTTTGAACTTTGACAAATAAAATAAAAAGTAAAATAAATATGAAATATGGAAGTTCTTCAGAAACGAAACGAAAAATAGAAAAAACCAAGTGAGAAAGAGATCAAACAAAGGGGCAAAAAAAAAAGCTATTTTGATGTGTTTTTCACTATTTCCACCTAAACAGACACACTTATATCAACAAAATCAAAAAAAAAGTTATTTTCTTTTTTTTAAAGTCCGGTTATTTTTTTCTCGGTTATTATTATTATGAACTTAACTTTTTTTTATATTTGAACTCAAAAGTGATGATGAACAATAAGAAAAAGTGGGAAAAAAATCAAACAAACATTTGATTCCCGCCTTCGCTTTCTTGAAAATTTCTCATTTCATTTCCGATAAACGATAACGATATCGTTTGTCAAAAAAAATGGATACTTTATGTGTGTATGGGACCAATCGTTTGATGTGTATTTTTCATCTGCTTTATAAAGTCCAGGCCTATCAATTTTTTTTTCTGTTTCGAGCTAATAATTTATATGTTTTGCTTATAAGTGGATCATTGTGAAAAAGTCAATTGCATTGTCCACTATTTTAACTGCACAATGCAATTGACAAACAGGAATAACGAAAACAGAAAAAACCGATGGTTATATAATGACTGGGCAAAAAGAAAAACCTATGTTTTTTCGTTGCTCTAAATATGAAACAAAATGAAAGATTCTTTCATAATAAATAATAGTGGGAGTTGAGAATCGAAAAAGATTTTTTTTTCGATAATCATAAAGCCCAGTAGTAGCCAACTATGGTTGATAATAATCTTGATTTTTCAAAAACAACAACATCGACCATTTGATGATGATGATGATGATAGTCGTGGTGGTCATTTTCTCTCTTTGGTATGTTTCATTTGGATCACTGATGTAGTTTGCTTTCAAACACACACAAGTAGCAATCATGCGAAATGAAATCGACAATCAGAAAAAAATCGCCAAAAAAAAAGTTGTTATAAAAACCAAGTAGAGTAAGCTCTTAAATTAGCACTTTTGGGCACCAAAACAAAATGAAAAACTGTATCAAAAAAAAAACGAAAAAATTGACCGTTGATCATCATCATTTGTATTTTTTTTTCTTTTTGGAAAGGGGAAAACAAACATTCCAAACAACTTTTTTCACTTTTTTCCTAGACCAGAAAAAATTCTTGGTTTGGTTGAATAGATTTCTTTGATTTTCTGTTTGCAGTATGGAATCCAAAATGATATTCGATGATGAAATTATTTACGCAATTCTGCATTACTGATGATAACGATTATTCTTTCTTGTTCGCAACACTCAATGAATAAATGAATTGATCCGAAAAAAAGAGATTCTGGAATCAAAGAATCCAAAAAAATAAAGGAAAAATCTTTCAGTAATTCTTAACAGTAGAAAATCCATAGCCCAAAAAATAAATAATCCAGTTTGGTGATTGGAAAAGAAAATAAATCTAAATTATAAATGTCAATATCTTTGCCACACACTTCATATCCAAATTGCTAATAAGTTTTGCTTTCTCTTTTGCTTTCTTTAATTCTCAAATACGAAACACACTGATCCAGATCGATTCTAGCTAGCTTTTTTTTCACTTAGTTTTGATGATGATTACTAAAAATCAAAAAAAAAAATAATAATAATAATAAAACATTGAAAAATTCATGGGATTCAAATTCTGGTTTTGCTTTGCTTTGTTTTGAAATTAGATCCAACAATAAAAAAAAACAAGAAAGAAGGATAGAAAGTACACCCCCGCTCAGCAAAAGAGAAATGCAATCATTTTGGAACTAAAAAAAAACTTTTTTTATTCTTCGGTTATTTTCCTTTTTCAAAAAAAAAACCAAAAGTCCATAATCAAAAGTTTGAATCATCATCGAATCAAATCGATTCGATGATGATCACTGTCTGATGAAATTACTTGAACATTATTATTACCTTTGTGTTTGTTTGATCCATCCATCCATATTTTTTTTCATTATTTTGAAAATGTTTCAACGATAATAACTGCTTTTTTATCTTGGAAAAAAATCATCATCGATGATGATGATGATAGTTTGTATTCGATCGAATACTACAAATCAAATTTTTGCAATCAAATCATATTATTTTGTTGTTGAAAAAAATATCGATTTTTTCAACAGCAAACATTCAGTTTAATGGGGGAAAAAAGTGGATGAAAGACGCCATACATTCCAATTTTCATTTCAACAATTTTTCTTGTTGTTTCGTCAATCAAATGTTTGAATGAATCGCTGCTGCTGCTGTTTTTGTTTTTTGTATTTGTTTTTGCTGTGTTACAAATATTTAATTATAATTTTCCAAAATTATGATTCTTTCAATTTCTGGCAACTTTCTAAAAGATACAAACGTATGATGATGATGATGATGGCAAAAGAAATTTTCCAGAATTCTTTTCTGTTTTCATAAATACCATCATCATCATATTGATGATGATGATGAAAATTGAAACGCTTTTGGTTTTAATAACTGGTAATAACAACAAACAACGAAAGAAAAGAAAAGAAAAGAATCATTATCGATCATCAATATGATGATGATGATGATCGTCATTTTTATTGAATGAAATGAGTTTCATTCAATAAAAATGAAATGAAATCAAAGCAAATTTAAGTGAAGAAGTAGAAAAGAGAAAACTTTAATCGATTGAATGAAAGAAAACGAATCAAACGTGTTTTTTTTTTTTTTTTTTGGTTCGAAGAATGGTGTAAGATTTTTAGTCTTTTTTTCATTATGAATGAAAAAAACTAAATGAAATGAAATGAATGAATTGGCTGTGTGTGTCTATTTCGACCCAAGAAGCACAAAAATTGGAAAAAAAAGTATTTCGTCAAAACATCATCAATTCAATTCATTTCGTTTCATTGAAAATGAATTTCTTTTCTCTTTTCTTTGATTTTTGCTTATAAAGAATAAGAATATTCTTCGAATAAAAAGAATAGGAAAACGAAGAAGAATCGATCTTTGTGAAGAATAATATGTATTATTATTATTCTGTTTTTTTTGTTGCTCAAGTTCCGGATCTAAAGGACGAAGAAGCAAAATTCTTCAACAACCAACTAACAACAATGATGTAATCAATACTTTTTTGTTTGGTTGTTTGATTATAACCCAAAAAAAACTATAGTAGTTTTTTTTCTCTCTCTCTACAGAATAACAGAATAACAGAATAACAGAATTGCAGAATTACACAGAATAGAACAACAGCAGCAGAATTATATAAAAAAAAACCCAAAATCAATACAAGTTTCTTTATTTCTATTGATTCTCAATGAATGAATGAATGAATGAATGAATGTCGATAGATCATCAACAATATCCATATTATTATAGATCATCATCATCATCATCATTTTCAACAAAAAAAAAACAAAAAAAAAAACATTGAAAAAAATATAACCAAATCGAACCAATGTTGATGATGATGTGTATTTTGTCGAATAACGTTGAATATTGTTTTTCGCAATTCGATTCCGATACTGGATCGATATTATCGATATCGGAAAATTCTCTTCTTTTTTGGCCAGATTTTCCCTTCCTTCTTTCGCTTATCCAAACCCAGCAGCAGTAGTTTGGTATGGGTCAGCAAAAGCAAGCGAAAAACTTCTGTACTGTCGATGATGTTTTGTCCATACGGTTTTTTCTAGTTTTTTTCCACCCGTTTTGGTATTCAGACAAACAAAAATTCAGTCATACAGTGAATGAATGAATGAAAAATGTGTTGAAAATGTGTTTTTCGTTTTCTTGTCGAGTATTAATGATGTTGATCAAGGATCAGTATAAATGATTGTACCATGTTGTTGTTGATTTCTTAATGACCATCATCATCGATGTTGTTGTCGATGTTTAGTCAAAAGAAACATGGACGGACCACCATCATCATTATCAAATAAAAGTTTCTCCGGGGTTATTTTTTCCATATATAGGGGAAAAAACAATTGAAAACACATTTTTTCATTGCATTCCTTTTTTGTTTCGACTTTTTGTTAACCCTGTGTGCGCTCGATTCAATCGAATCAAATCAAATCAAATCAAATAAATCAATCAATCAATGTTTAACCGTTTTTTCCCTCTGTGTGTTTATTTTGTTTTGTTTTGCCAATTTTCCTCTTTCCCCTTGAACAAAAAATGAAAAAAAAAACATCATAATAGGTACAAGCCCATGGGAATATATACCAATCTATAATTCAATACATTATTATCTACATTCAAATGGTTCGTTACAAATTAAATCGGCAACACATCAACAATCTGGCCAATATATTTGTCAATCAACAAATGGATATGGTACGGATATTGGAAAATTAATTCATCTTAAAATTAATGGTAAGTGTTGTTGTCCATTTTTGCCAATAAAGTTCATTAAATTTCATTTCATTTTTCAAAAAAAATCACGTAGAACCACCAAGATTTCAAATAACCATTCAACAACAATCAGCACATAAAGATCGTCCAGTACGATTAATATGTCCACCGGAAGGTGATCATCCAATACATATGGAATGGTTTCAATTAATCAATGATACCAATCGAAATTTAGAATCATTAGATTCAAAACGTGACAATCATGGCAATAATAATCGTGCCAAAATATCATTAAATGCCAATGATAATTTTAATGATAAATATCTATTTGAGTAATTATTTTTCTGGAAAATTTCTTGAAATTGAAAAAAAATGTTTCCAGAATAATTTCCGGTTTTTTCCCTTTTTTTTCTTTCTCTCTTTTTGCCAAACTAGAATCAAAGAAATTTCCCGAAAATTTCTTTCAGATGAACGACAACGTAACAACAACGATAATGATAATATCAATGATGATGATGATGATGATGATGATGAATTGATTGATAATAATAATAATGATAATGATGTTGGTGTTGGTGTTATGAATTCCGAATTAAATCGATTAACAGAATCAACATCTAAATCATCCTCCTCTACAAATCAACAAAAATCCAAAAATCTTATTGTTTCAATATTAACCATACGTAAACCAACACGTTTAGATTCAAGTTTATTTTTATGTAAAGCATCAAATGAATATGGTTGGGCTGAAATGAAAATTCGTCTTATTGTTAAAGGTAAGTCGTTGCTGATTTTATCAATATACTATCGATACATTGAAAAAGGGGTCATGAAAATGTTTTCCGGGAAATTTCCCGAAATAAACAAAATGAGAAATAAATACGGGTTTCAATTTTTTCCCCTTCACTTTTTTTCGATAATTCTTTTTCATTACAAAAAAAAACTAATACGGGATTCGAAACAGAACCAGAACCAGAATCGAAACAAACAAACAAACAAAAACTGAAACTAATATCAGAATTCCTTTCTTTCCTTTTCGCTTTTTTTTCTGAAATAAAACGGGCTCTTCATTTTTATTTTTTCGTTTTGCTTTTTTTGTTTTTCATTCATTCATTTGGCGCCACACGGCACACACAGAACACATATAAATGATGAAATTGAACCTTTAATTATTATTATCAGTGCGTGACAAATAATAATAATAATAATGATGATGATGATGATGATGATGATGATGATGACGTAATGAGAACAACAACAACAACAACAACAGCAAAACAACAACAACAACCAAGAGAAGCAAAATAACCTAGGCTTTTTCGTTGAAGAGATAGATAAATAAATGAATGAATGAATGAATCTCATTCATTTTCCATTACTTTCCATCTCTCTCTCTCTCTCTCTCTCTCTCTCTCTCTCTCTCTCTCTCTGCATCAAAAAAATATAATAATGTCTGTGTGTCTATGTGACTGTGTGTGTGATTCTATGGATTCTAGAATTGGATATTCTGCAAATAATAATAATAATAATAATGGTGGTGGGGTGAAAATGAAAATGAAATGAAATGAAACAAATTACAATCAGATAGACCATTCATATAGACATGGAATAAAGCGAGTGAGAGAGAGAGAGAGTTTTTTTTGATTCTTTCCCGGTTTCTCGATTCTCTCTCTCGTTCGTTCGTTTATTTTCGGTTTTATTGTCAATGTTAATGATTGGGAATTAAAACCAAAAAAAAGGAAGAAAAAAATTGCGAATTTAGATTGTCATAGCCACTAAATATCAATGAAAATAAAGTAGACTTGAAGAGAGAGAAAAAAAGGTCATCATCAGAATCAATGATGATGATGATGATGATGATGAGGATAATCAGAAAAAGAACTGATAGCGCGATATTAAGAGAGAGAAAAAACAACAGCCGGTTATTCATTATCTTGTACGAAATAACTTTCAATCTATGAACAAAATCTGCTGTTTTTTTTTGGTTTGAAAAAAAAACTTTTTCTATAAATAACGTCATTTGTGAATTTGTCATTTCATTACTATTATGTGTGTTTAGACATGCATAAATCCGGTTTTTCTTTTTTCTTTTTTCGTTATTTCGGTAATGATAAATATTCACCAATTGATATTCATATAACATTACTTTATTTGTAATAATAATAATAATACCCGGATGAAAGATGATTCGAATTCAAACAAAAATTGACCAAAAAAAAAATTTGCTGACAAAAGTAAAAAAAACCCCTGTAATGAAATGCAAGCAAAAAAATATCGTTCGGAAATTCCGTTCGAATTCATTTCCGAGTATGCAGCAGCAGCAGCAGTGATTCGAATCAACTTTTTGCTTCTTCGTTTGGTCCGTAAATTCCAAACCGAAAAAAAAGTCTCCAATTTCGATTCGAAAAAAATTCTGTCCTAAACCAGAAAAAAAGAGAAAAAAGTAGACAAAAACATTCATTTTCGTTTGTTTCAATTTGGGCATTTACAAAATATTTTCCCATATTAACGCTATTAGCTTAATTGTTTTCTATTCATTTGGTCTCATTTTTTTTTGTTTTCTTCAAATTTGCTAATTTTTTTTTGCCTGTAAACTTTCTTTCCTTGATAGAAAAACCTGATGTTCCGGAAAAATTTTCCATACAAAACGTGACTGAATCTCGAACGGAAATACGTTGGCATGAATCATTTAATGGAAATTCTAATATTGTTAATTATGTGGTACAATATCGTCTTATTACGAATCCATCAACAACAACACGAAATGACAATCAAATATCATCATCATCGACATCGACAACCGATTCGTCAATCAATGTTTTAGATATGGATGATGACGATGATGATGATGGTGATGATCGAATAACTGAAACAAAAATACCGAAAACAACAACAAAAATTCAAACAATCAATATTCCAATGGAAAAAATTATCATTTCAAATGTATCATCATCATCATCAATACGACAAACAATGATTAATAATTTACGATCAAATTCATTATATAAAATACGTTTAGCAGCTATAAATCGTCTGGGACAAAGTGATTATACAAAATGGTTACGTTTTCGTACTGAACAAAGTGCACCAGAAACACCACCAATCGATATACAGGCAACACCTACCGGTCCAAATTCAATAAAAATAACATGGAAGGTATGGAATGTTTGAATGTTTGTTGGTTGCAAGCAAAAAACAAACCCAAGAAAACAAACCCAAAAAACACTGAAAAAAACATGCATGTTACATGAATCCAGAGATATTATTCTGGATCTCCCAATCTCTCTCTCTCTCTCTCTCTCTCTTTGACTGTGTCTTGTAATATGATTAAAATAGTAACATATGTACACGACATATATGAATATTTCCAATCATAAATCATTTCCCCCCCCAAAAAAAAATATGAATTACTCGTAACCTATCTACACGAGAACCAGCAAAACAAAACGAACGAGAGATATAAATGTATGTCACAAACATAAAAACACACACACACAAAACGCACAAAATGCAAAACTTTTTTTTTGATCGGATTAATTGTGTCAATTTTGGTTTTGCTAAATTCTTTTTGCTTTTTTTCCTTTCTTTGCATTTTACCATTTACAAAAAAAGGCACCAAAAAAATCCGAATGGAATGGTGAAATTAGTGGTTATTATATTGGTTATCGTTCAGAAAAATCTGATACCGATCTATATAAAACAGTTGAAAACGTACAGGTTAATGGCCGATATGAATCACATATAACTAATCTACAGCGATCAACCATTTATAAATCATGGGTACAGGCATTTAATCAACGTGGTACAGGACCACGTTCGGAAATCGTTTCCGTACAAACATTAGCTGATGTACCACCAAGTGCACCATTATTACGTTTACATTCATCCACAAGTGATTCAATTACAATTAGTTGGTTATCAGCTACTTTTGGTGGTAGCGGTGGAAGTGGTGGTCAATTATCATCGAGAAAAGCAAGCAGTAGCAGTTCATCAAATGATTTAACACTTTATTATCGTTTATATCAACCATTATCATCATCATCGTCGTCGTCATCTGTGGTGACCAACAACAACAATATTGGTCAACAATCAATGATACTAATGCCAAATAATTGGCATGATATATCAATAATGGAACCGAATGGTCGTCATACAATAACTGGTTTAGAATGTGGACGATCATATGAATTTTTTGCTACTGCACATAATTCCGTAGGTAAATCTGAACCAAGTACACCGTTAATTGCTCGTACACGTGGTGAAGCACCAACACCACCTGGTAGAAATAATTTACTTAGTGAAACTATTTCAGATAATTCAAAAACCGTTACGATTATTATTAATCTGATCAATTGGAAAAATAATGAATGTCCAATCAATCATTTTACATTACGTATACGTCCATTAAGTTTACAAAAATCAAGTGCCTTACAACAACAACAACAACAACAACAACAACATTCATCATCATCATCATCATCTACATTATCTGCAACAAATATAATGTCAAATACAGGCTGGACAATATTATCCATGCAACATAATCCAAGAGAAAATTTTCTACTACGAAAATTAATACCAAATCAACCATATGAATTAGAAATAACAGCACATTCATCAGCCGGTTCAACACAAGTAATCCATCAATTTATAACACCTAATATTACAGCCAATATTGGTATGTGTGTTATGCGTGCTATGCGTGTGTTAAATCAAAATTTTTCCCGTTAATTATATACATTGTTTGTAATGATAATCGTTTTGTTTTTTACTTTGACTTTCTAACCCTTAAACAGATTCATCATCATCATCATCATCATTTTTAAATAAAATTGGCTATGATAATTCAAATACAAAAATAACATCATCAATATCATATCCAATGCCATCATCAACAACAACAGAAATATCATTCGGTGATTATGAAATTCTATTACCAATTATATCATCAATGATTGTTGTTATTGTTATTATTGCTGTTGCTTGTTTTCTTTGTTCACGTGATCATCATTCATTATTTTTACAACCAATTGGTAATGGTCATAATGGTCATAATGATGGTCATCATCATCATCAAAGACAGCCATGTAAGTTTTGTTTTTCGTTTGATTTGAAGGCAAATTCTGAAATTCTGAAATTTTTGTTTTTTCCCGGTCAAACTACAAATTCAGCAACACCATCATCAGAAAATAAAGTGCCTTTTCATCATACACATCATCCACATTCACATCATCATCATTCAAATGATCCAAATGATTTACAGCAACAACAAGAAATGTCAATTTTAAAAGAATTAGTTCGTTCAAATTCAATAACAATAATGGATGGTTTTAATCCATTAATCAATAATGGTGGTGGTTGTATTGGTCAATCAACAGATTCATCAACAATATTAACAACAACAAATGGTATTATTGGTGGTGATTATGGTGATTTACAAAATCGATTAATCGATAGTGAACCAACATCATTGATTAACACTAATAATAATCAACAACAACAACAACAATTACGTAATCATTCTTATCATCATTCGCATCTTCATCATCATCAACTTACATTAATGTATGTATCACATGATGATAATGTATTTTTGCCTTTGTAACGAATACACGTACTAATCATATTAATTGACAACGATGAATCTTTTTTTTTACCAAAAAAAATGATGCTAATAATAATTTAATGTTGATTGCTTTGATGATGATTAAACATTTATAAATGGTGTTGGTTGCTGGTTGTCCAACCAATCTCAAATCCCCACCGTGTGTAGTAATAAGTGTTATTTTTTCCTGTGTGTGTTTTGAATGATAAACATCCTCATCCTCATCCAATCTAATTTATCATTGGACATTATTCTTATTTTGATTATTTTTTATCATTTTTAGGTCACCAAGACATCAACAACAACAGGGAAAAACAATTGCAATGGGAAAAGATCTAGTAGAATTACAATCATTTTTAAATAATTCTACCAATAATAATAATAACAGTAATGGTTATGTAACACAAAAACGTATTGGTCATTCAGGTAATGGTGGAAATTATGCATTACCATATGATGTATTACCTGTTGTTACACAATCCAAACAACAACAATCAGGTAATAATATGGCAATCTATGGACAACGTACAACATTTATATCAGCCAATAACAACAACAATAATGAACCATTATATGCAACAGCTAAATTGATTAACATCAATGGTAATGGTGGTGGTGGTCAATTTGTTAATTATGGTCCAAAGGTAAAAAAAATTTTTATTTAACCCTTTGTTTCTTAGCAAGGCTAATTTTTTTTCGTTTTTTTCTCGTTTGAAGATTGATGAATTAGCTATGTCAACAGTAATAGCTAATTCATCATCATTATCATCATCATCAACATCATCATCAACAGCAACAACAAATGGTTCACAACGTACTAATTATGAATCATTAGTGCCAATAATTTGTTCATCATCATCTACATCAACATCAACATCATCATCAGGAATGGCTATATCAACTGCTTCGGCTGTTACTGCCGGAACAAATACAATGGTCATGTGATGTGATCCGATGATGTTCAATCAAGTAAAGGGTTAACGGTGTTTTTTTTTGTTCTTGTAAATTAAAGGGGGTTTTTTTATAATTAATTAATTAATTGTATTTTGTTTGTAATTTTTTTCTTTGTAAATTTTGAATAAAAAATTTTTTTTTGTTGAAAAATTATCAAATTTTCCTTGTTAATTGGCGGCTACTGAATAAGAAGAATTTTTAGGTATAATTTCAGTTGGGAAGAATGGACAACATTGTTCATTATTGATGTGATACAATACGATGAATTATTCTATTGTGTTTCATCCGAAATGGACTTAACAATGGTGATTTGTTTTGTTTTTGGTCTGTTTATTTATTTATATACAAAAAAAAAAAAAAATGTTTTTGTTTGTTTCAACTACACTTTACTTTACTATATCGACACTAATGGGATCGACATGTTTTTTTTTGTTTTTCTGATGTGGTGGATAAGAGTGGGTGTTTATAAGGTGGGGAGTAAAGTGTGTTTGGTTCATATTTATGGCGTTTTGGGCGCCTTATTCTCTCTCTCTCTCTCTCTCTCTCTCTTACTCTCTTGCGTTTAATTCGAACCAAGTGAACTGAACAAGACAAAACAAAAAAAAAACATAATCATAATTGATTGTGTTTTTCCACCTTGATGCTATTATCTTTATGTGAAGAAAATAAAAGAGAAAAGAATGTTGATTCAAAGAAATTCATTCATTCATTGTTGTTGTTGTTGTTTTTTGATTGTAGAATAACAACAACAATGTATAAGGTGGATATAAAATCAAGCCAACCATGAAACATATACAATAGTTTTTTCCTCCTTCCACCACTTCTTCTCACCCCCATTGACAAAGAAAGAAAGAAAGAAAGAAACTATTGCCTTTTTACAAATACAAATGTTAACAATGTTTACCCAAGAAAAAAAATTGTTAAAACCAACCAAACAATAAATACTAATAATAATCAAAATCATAATAAAGGAAATTATCATCATAAATAATCATCACATTTTTTTTATATATCTGATTCCATATGTAGTAGTAACGTGTTATGTAATGGTAAAGATAAAAAGGAAAAGAAATGTTTTTGTTTTTGAAACGAAACGAGGAAAACAAAAAAGTGTTATTTGTAAGTACAAACCGGACAATGTAATAAGTTTCTTACAATCGACAATCATCATTATCATCATCATTTTTATCTGGTTGGACCAAGGTGTTAAGCAAATGATGATGAAAATCATCATCATCAATCGAATATTCGGTTGATTAGTTTATCGATTTTTTTGATGAGGAAAATATGCGGACAAAAAAAACACATTATCATCATCATTACCAGAGAGAGAGAGAGAGAGAGAGAGAGAGAGAGAGAGAGAGAGACGAAAAAAATCCCAAGAATATTCTTATTCTTGGGATTTTCTCTTGTGTTACATAATTTATTTATGACCCTACGGGAAAATAGAAAGAAAATTCAAATATAAAATATGAATATATGAATGGTGTTCGTTGGTAGAATGGTGTTATCCAAAATCATCATCATCATTACATTAACATTACATACACACGAAGGTGGCAATAACATAAATAATTCTCTTCATATTCTCGACTTTGAATCTGTCTAAATGTCTGTTTGNATTACCAGTGAGAGAGAGAGAGAGAGAGAGAGAGAGAGAGAGAGAGAGAAGAAAATCCCAAGAATATTCTTCTTCTTTTTCTTGTGTTACATAATTTATTTATGACCCTACGGGAAAATGGAAAGAAACTTATAAATTCAAATATATAAAATATGAATATATGAATGGCTGGTTGGTTGGTTGGTTGGTTGGTGTTATCCAAAATCATCATTACATTACATTACAAACACGAAGGTGGCAATAACATAAATAATTCTCTTCTCTTCCTATTCTCGACTTTGAATCTGTCTAAATGTCTATTTGTTTTTTTCGGGCAAAACAAATACAACCAAGAGAGAGAGGAAAAGATAATTCAAATTCTTTCATTCGGTTTTGGTTTGGTTTGGTTTTGCGTGTATCATAAATAATTTAAATCGGATGAATCGAAAGAAAGAATATTCCGAACCATAAGATGAATTCAAAAAAAAACAGCAACAATCAACCGACAATAGTTATTCAGGTTTAATCTGGCCACACACACACACACACACACACACAGACACGAACAAATTCTGTAAATATTCACATTAGATATGTGAATATTAAGATTATTATTATGATCTTCTGAACACTACCACCACCAACACCAACATCATCATCATTATTATTATTCAGCAATAAAATTCAATTTTGTTATAATTCTTGATTCTCTCTCTCCCCCCCTCTCTCTAAATCGATATTCGAATGTTGTTGATGTGTAAGATTCTGTCAATACCGAAAGAATCAAGAATCGAATTAGAGAAATGAATGAATGAATGAATGAAACGTTGAAATATTCCATTAGATAGAAACAAGAAGAAATTATTATTATTACTAACTAACGATTCATTCATCCATTTCAGAGGGGGGATGGAACTGGAAAAACAAATCCAATCGAATATGATGATAAATGAAACTATAGTCGGTCGGTCGCTCGGTCAATTCTATATATAAATCAACGAAAATGACAAACAAACATCGACAATTGATGTATGTTTTTTTTTTGTTTCGTTGAAGATTTTCTTTACTTTCTTTTCTTCAACACTATTATTTTTCCGGGAAAATTTCTTTTCAACTTTACACAACAATTATTATTATGTTTCGTTTTTTTTCAAAAAAAAAAATCAATTTTCGATCGAAAAATAATGATGATGATGATTGAACAAAAATGTGAAAAAAAACTTTAATTGTCCATCATCCTCATTCGCAACAACAGCAAAAAAAAAGTTTGATTCGTTGAAATATTTCATATTTTTTTGATTTCAACTTGAAATAATCGAAGGAAACGAAGAAAAAAAAATCCATGATTCATTAATTCTGTCTCCGTTTGTTTTCCCGATCTCGATCATCATCAATGATCGGGAATTGTATTGAGCGCAAAAAAAGGAAAAGAAAAAACTTTCGATAGTATCGCGATGGATCGATACTTTGAAGCAAAAAAAAAAATTTGTTTCAATCCATAACCTTCTTCCTTCTTTGAAGATCAGTTTCAGGGAAGGGAAATTTCAATCTTGGCTCGACGACGACGACGATGATGAAACTCACTTGAATCAGTGTTTTTCAGCATTTTTTCAGCATTTTTGACTGTTGAAAGATTCGGTTTGGATCGATATTTTTCAATTTTATTTCAAAAAATAAAAAATAAAAATTCCGTGTAAATTCTCTCTCTCTCTACATGGTTGAATGATGATGATGATGTGAAATCTGGTTTTGGTTCGATAACAGCCAAGAAATAAAAAAAAACGACAAACCAACAGCATCTCTTCAATGATGATGATGATCATTGCCATAAGTCCATCATCATCATTATTTGTATCGATGAATGTGTTGTCATTCTTGAATTGAAAATAAATATTCATAGCACAGGAAGAACGAAGAAAAATTGATTTTTTTCGTTGTTGCTGATGAAAAAAAAGGTCAAAATTCTTTTTCTCAGTGTGTTCATTCTAGAATATTCTCACCATTCTCCGATCAACAACAACAACCGAACAACAACAATATTCTTGAATTGGTTTTGGTTGAATGAATTTTGAATTTTTTTTGGTAAATGTTCAGCAATTCAGTTCAGTTTGGTTATTTATATTTCTTTTTTTAGCTCGAGAATCTTTCCAGAAAAGAAAATCGATATTTTTTTTCATTGTGTCAATGTTGTCAGCCAAAAAAATTATTATTATTCATCAAATGAATGACATAATGTTGTTTGGTGTTTTTGCTGTTTGTTTTAAGCATTTTTTGATGTTCCAAAAACCTGAGAAAAGGAAAAATCTTAAATTGAAAAAAAAATCTCTCCTGAGAAACACCAACAACAACATTCCAGGCCAAGCCAAGCCAACAAACGACTAACCCTAATTAATGATATATGTGTGAAATAAGGCAAACGAAAATTGTAAAAAGCAAAAAAACAAGATGATGATGATCGCTGTCAGTGTGTAAAACATGCATAAATTATTATTATTTTTTTTAGTTTAGAAATTCTTTTTAAAAAAAGTAATAATTTTTCTAAAGAAAAATTCTTATTTTTTATCCATATATCGTCCTCATCTATGCATTTATCATGTTTTCAACATGAAATCAGACAATGTCAAAAGAGATGTTGCTTGCTTGTTAAATCGGTTAATGTAATGAAAAATTAAACAGAAAAAACAGAAGACAGCAGCAGCAAATTTAACGATTAATTTTTTTTTGTTGTTGTTGTTGTTTCATTCATTTTCAAAGTCAATTTTAATCATCATCATCATTTGATTTACTGAATCTCTGCCACTGTGTGTGTATAAGTTACTCTTCTTTTTTCTTTCGGTTAGTTGTTTCGGTTCGCCGCCCATATTATCATCATCATTATCATCATCGGAAAAAAATGGATGAAATTTGATGCCTACGGGACCTTTCATCACCCGAGAAAAACGAACACCGATTTTGTTTTTTCCAATGAACAAAATGAATGAATGATTAACACCACCGCCGCCGTACAGAACCCGAGAAAAATTACATAACTTTCTTGTCTTTTGGTTTTCTTCTTCTGGTTTTCTTTGCTTCGTTGTTAATTACCCCCCAAAAAAAACCATTTCTGGTGTGTGAGAAAAATGTTAATTAATTAGTTAATTGTGCCTAATCTACACTCACTATATATATGATGCATCTTTTTCGTTATCATATATTTAATGGCAATCTTGTGTGTTTCAAACTGGAAAGAAAAAAAAAATTGCATAACAAAATTACATAATAAAAAAAATTTGTTTTATTTCAGTTTAGTTATAGGTTTTTTT